AAGGGGGAAAGAAAAAGGGGGGAAAAAGGGGGGGGGGGGAAAGGGGGAAAAAAGGGGGGGGGTTGGGGGAGAAAGGGGGGGGGGGGGGGGGGGGGGGGGGGGGGGGGGGGGGGGGGAGAAAGGGGGAAAAGGGGGGGGGGGGGGGGGGGGGGGGGGGGGGGGCAGTTTGAGGTATTTTAGTAGTAGCGTGCTGGCCGAAAATCTCGAAGCATCGGGAGGAGAGCACGGCGAAGGATGGGATGTTGGGGGAAGGCACTAGGAAGACACCTAGGGGCGGGAAGGGGACAAGAGAAAGTTCCACGGGGAGAGGAACACGGGTCTTCGATGACTTAGGCTGACGTGGCGACCACAAGAAGTTGGAGCGGTGTGACAATGACTGCTTGTTCGGTTTGCCGGGGGGAGAAGTGCGTCGTTCCGTCGCGTGGGGGTAGTTTCAGGGAAGAGCGGGGTGAGACAGTCAACTATTCCAGCACGACTTCTTGGGTAAATCGAGGAGGGCGACGCCGGGTCAATCCGGATATTGTATTGGAAACCCCCGATAGTTTTTGCAGCGGCCTTCGCAGGTTTATTGTACTCAGGAAACATGTTGGATAAAGCATACAATCGGGGAAGTTGGGTTAGGATTAGGGTTTGGGATAGGGTCTGCGTCCCCCCTCCCTGTTCTATTTCCTCACAAACTTATTAATCGCGCGAAGGCGGTTCGTTGCAAGGCAGCGCGGGGGGCAGGGGGGGGGACTCCACACCAATGAAAGAACGTCAAAGTATTCTCGAAACATCAAATAACGAGCGAAGTCATGGGGGCTGTGTTTCGCCTCCTCCGCATGTAGGTACGGACGCCATAGTTGCCTCTGGTGCTGGAAGAACAATCCCTCGGACCCATGAGGGCAGACTGACTCTCCTTTTCTACGGCGAACAATTCGACGCTTACCTCGAGGTCCATCTCTAGCCGGCCCACGGCGTTCATGTGGCGCACGAAGCCACTCGTTCGGAGGTCCCCGAGGCTCATCAATCCGCAGCGGCTGCGAGAGACACGAATCGTGTTAGAAACCATCTACAGCAGTAATTTAAACACCAGCACCACAAGAACAGGTGGATACGGAAACAGATGTGCTGCTCTGGGGGGGGTACGGCCGATGAGAAGCAGGCGCGGGAGGAATTGAACGGGGGGGGGGGGGGGGGGTAAAATTGTGGGGGGAGGGGGGCCCCGGAAAGGAATTTTCGCACCCGGGGGGGGGGGGGGGGGGGGGGGGGGGCATTCCCCTTTTTTTTTGG